AGGTGATCAGGAGCTCCTGCAGATTGGGAAAGATATTTTTGGCGGCTATGGTGCAAGAGCTTTACAAGACAGGAATAGCCGAGACCACCTTTGAAAAGGTTGGATTCTTCAGACCGTTGACATCTTTTGCTATGTTGCGTATCATCATTTCCTAAACATTGTTTTATTAGCTCTAAAAATTGTGATGTACAACTGCTCATTATAGTAACTGTTGTCCTGTCATATTATCTTTGAGATTGAGCCAATGAAAAGCCTCCATACAAACAAACTCTGGATCACCCACACATCTGTGAGAAATGATAAAACTGGAGGCAAGACACAGTACAACCTTTTTGAAATGATTTATTTTTCTTCATTATTTATGCAGCTGGCTTTCACGGTTTCTTGCTTTTGTACAAGCAATGGTGAGCAATTTCCTGGATGTGATGTTCTCTTAAGAGTTGGGTAAGTACTAATATCTGTTGCTCATTTTATTGTATTCCCTTTTTCCAATTTGGTGCTTTGGTGCTCCGAGGGTTTTAGTCCATGATGATATTCTTTGCCTTTTGTAAGTTGTCCTTGAACTTATACAGCCAGTCAATCACTGCTGAATGATGAATTCTTAAACAATCTTGAACTACCTTGGGAAAGAACCAGCCAAACTATCCATTACTAGATTACCAAACATATATTTCCTATTTTTCTAAAAGGCCAAATTCTATTTTTGGCCTTTCCCAAAATAATAGGCACCCGATTTAGTAAACTAAAATTTAGACATTCCTGTATTATCCTGAAAGATACCTTTCACCAAGGATTCAAAAGAAAGACTGTATAGTAAGGTGGAAACATAGTGGTGAATATTGAAGGAGGGATCCATTTTTGTAGAGACCGGACAATCAATTGTGACCTGTTAATTGGGGATGGAGGGAGTATCTTACTTGAAGAGGGACTGCAGTGATACTTCTACTCGTTCCTTCTTTTAGTATACTGAGGTTGATAATACCTTGACTAACTCTATCTGGTTTCACACAGCTGTAAACTCGGTGAATGCAGAATCATCCTTTGTGAGCCAGGTTCCAGGCACCGGTTGCAGAAGTTGCAGTTGAATTTCCCTAGGTAAGCTTCAGTACACATTGTCTAATAATATCAATCTACTGTTACTTGTTTGCAAGGCTTTGTATTAGGTACTTTCTGATATTCTTACAAACTATAGTATCCGCGTTTGAATTGCAATTCAAACTCAGACTGCTAAATTGGTTTTCTTAGCTCCACTCCCTCTGCTTTCGATATATATCTGAATACTAGAAGCAACACAGCATAAGTCATAAAATGTTTTTTTTTTACCACTGTAGTTTAAGTCAAGTGCAAGTTACATAGCCTGTATGTTTTCTAACTCGGTTTTTTTTTTTTTTTTTTTTCTGCTTCTAATTATCAGCGATGATGTGACATTTGCTCTAAAGGACTGTCAGGAGATTCCATGGCTAGCAAAATACTTATGATTGAAGAATGGTGATTTTCATCAGTGGTATTCAGCTGCGTTGCTTCTAGTATTCATCTTAATTAATCGATGGAGAATCGAGTTCATCTGAACTTCAGCATGTACTTGTATCTAGTTTATGCATTGATCGGTAAACAAGAAATACAAAATTTTGTTAGCTTTCTAAGTTAAATAGGGAGGACTTACGAGTTTCAGGGAACACAAATGTATCATTTGAGGTGTTAATGTACGTGAAACAAGGGATAGTGAAGTATAAAAATTGCTCCCTTGCCTTTGTAGATTTGCTTAAATAAAGGATTTTTTTTATCAAAATTTATTAAAACGCTCATTTGTTTAGTTCAAATCCCCTTATACATCACCAGAAATTTCTAAGCTATTGTTGTAGATGAACATTTTCAGCATAATATTATTATAATTAGTACGAGTAGCGTTAGTAATATGAAATTTACATGCTACACTAGGGTGCACTATGCTCATTAGTCATTATGCACCCGGTGTGAAATCAGAGAGGTAGCTTTTGAAAAAAAATAATTAGACAATTCATCTCAATTGAAGGGCATTTCATAGCTTTCAAAATTAAATATCCCAATGTTTGCAATTTACTAATTTTGATTAATTTTAGAGAGAAATTTACAGAGTGTTTGTAAGAGAGAAGTTTCTAGAAAGCGAATTTGAGGAACAATAAATTCATAAAACAATACTAATAGATCTTATCTTACGTGTATGAGTTTTATTTATTTATTTATTTTTATTTATTATATGAGTAAAGTATATGAACTTTTCATAGGAGAAATAAATTATAAAAGAAAAAAAGAAGTGTAACGCGACACAAAGTAAAGCTACTTGAGATCAGCTCAATCAAACACTGTAAAAAAAAAATCGAGTCAAAATAATAACATGTCAAGTCGAGCTACATGAACTCGAAAATCATAAGAAATATAGCACCCCCTAAGGCCCCTAAGTAGTAGAACACTCCCTAATTATGTATCTAAGAAGCCAATGCCCAATTGCCAATCCCAATTTCAAAGACGCGCGCTAACTCTCTCTTATTCTTTTTCAAAAACGATTAAAAACTTGGAATAATAACAAAAGCAGAGTTTGTTACAATTTGTTGCCTCATTTTCTCTCTCTAAACTCTTCCACTTCTCTCTCCACAATCAGCTAATCAAATCCACTCAACTTCTCTCTCTACAATCAGCAACTCAAATACACTCAACTTCTCTCTCTAAAACCAGGTAATCGACAATGGAGGAGAAATTCCGTGCTAAAATCACTGAAACAGAGGAGAAGACTGCAGTTTCTCAAGAAACAGAGAAGAAGGCGGCAATTTCTCGAGAAACAGAAAAGAATCAGAAGAAAAACTCTCAAGAAATCGCTGAAACGGAGGAGATGAAGGTAATCGCTGACGAAAAATCGGATGATCAGAAAACAGAGACAAAAGAGGTGAACTCTGAAAAAACAGAGGAGAAGACGATTTCTCCAGAAGATGCTGCTAAATTGGCCGAGAAGAGGAAGATGATTGCCAAAGGAAAAGCTCCAATGGAGGATACCAGACCTGATAAAGCCGCTAAAATGAAGGATATTCAAGAAACAGAGAAGAACCAGACAGCTGAAATGGAGGAGATGGAATTATCTCCAGAAGAAGCCGCTATAATTGCGAAGAGGAAGAAGATCGCTAAAGGAAAAGCTCCAATGACGGAGGAAGAAGAACAGCTTACAGAGGTTAATGTTGAATATTGTGATGATGATTTTGACGATTATGAAGATTTATACGACGAATTTCTCGCGGATCCAAATTCGGAATCTGATACTGACGAATTAAAAACTGCTAGTAAGTTTTCTGGATTTATTTTACAGTTTTATTATCTAATTGAATAAACCTAGGGTTAGTAATTGAGGAAAATAACCATTTCATGATCTATGTATGATTTAATTGAACAACCTAGGGTTCGTATAAAAGTGTTTGATCAAAGATTATTATTAGTTAAATTGAAAAAATCGCAGTGTATTTTTTATATAAGCATGCAATAAATTTGGTTTTGTTTTAATGTGCCAATTGAATTTATTTCCTATAATGTGTAATAGCCAATTATCTAATGCGTTAATGATTTTATTAATTTCAAGCTTTAACGACTAAATGTTAACTAGTTTTCTCGAGGAAATTAAAAAATCGAGAGAGAGATTAATGGATGGTTGATGTTATTATTCATCAAATGATTGATGTCGATATAGAAATTACATGTTGTGATACATCGATCACATGTTACACGGACTCGAAAAAAGTGTCAAATAGAATTCTAGTGTCCGGCTTAAAAATTTAGAAATTAAAACACGCGAAAACTCTTTTAATTTCGAGATTTGGATACATTGGTACGCGAAAACAACAAGCAATCATATAATTATATACATATATTTTTCAAAAAAAAATAATTATATACATATCTAAGTAGTAGTATTACAGTATTTTACAGTAAGAAATATGGAACTTAATATTTAGTACGTGTTTATGCTTGATTTTTTCAGTTAGTTGGAGCCTTGCTGAAGATTTTTTTCAGAAAATTGGAGCATCGACTGTTTACTGGTATTTCAGAAAAGCTCTTGAATCCGGAAACCTTGAAGTTGTCAGTCGTGATGAGCTTGAATCACATCGACCTTTCGCCGGGATTCTGATGATATTCGGTGTGCATTGCCACAAGAAGGAAAAGGGGAAAGAAGTGGTGCTGACAATTCTAAGGGAATTCATGATAGGTGATGGATTGAGGAAGTGTGATGTAATTGGTTTCGTTAACAAGTATGATATAGGAGAGACTCATCAGGCAGCCCTGCAACGCGCTATGTTTTTAGTGATGTGCATTTTTGAGGAGGCGGGTAAGGTTAATGAACCTGCAAAACTGGTTGCTGAGGCTATGTTAGATGCTTATGATACAGGGATTTGGGGTGATGAAGTTTTCGGTACTATATACCGTTTTTTGAGGTCTCCATACAAGACTTTAGTGGTGGTTGGATTGGTCTTAGTGACTTCCTTGGCATTGTTTTGCAAAGACAGAAACAGTCCTGAATTGTCCAAGGTCATCCACCAAAACAAATTCGTTGAAGTCGTGCACAAGATGGACACAGCTAAACTCGAAGAAGAAGTCGTGATGCGTGTAACAGCCTGTGTTGATGCCCTTGATGATATGCCCAAGCCATTAGACAGTTCGTCGTCTGATGAATGAATCACGTATATACCTGCTGTAGAGAATAAGCTAGCTGATAGATGTTAACTGTATAGTAAGATCGAGTACGTATAATAAACCTTAGGACATGTTTGCTGATGATGTAGTCAGCCTGCTACCAAACATTAATTCTTTCTAGCTGTTATTGCTTTGTTTAGGTTCAATATCATGGTATAAAAGTATATAGTATATAGTTTCTGTTATTAGCTGTTTTGCTCAAGTATAATGTTGCATTGATGTACCTAATGAATGGTATATACCGCTTTATTTGTGAGATTCATGATTATAGATCTTAACTTTTGTATGCTCTACTGTTGACCAGGATTGCTATTATCAATCTGATATGCATCAGCTGAGGAAGATGAGAATTTACCTAGAGAGAACGAATGCAAATTTCTGGATTATAATCTTATATAGAGAGCTTTGGATTGAACCCCCAAAAACCCTGTTTACTAGATTTGATGTTGGGTCTTACAAGTGTAAACATATATCTACAAATCGAAAAAATCATAGTAGAGCCACAATAAACATAAATTTAGAAATCAAAATTTACAATCCTAAAACAATATAATTTTATTTTTTAATTTCAAAAGGAAACAATCTTATTTACTTCCTCAATGGTTAATTGCAACAAAACAATATTTTACATCTCACAAATAATACCCCTTTGTTGTAATTAACCATTAACGGAGGAAGTATTATAAAATCACCACATCCACACCTTCTCGAATTCGCTTTGCAAGTACCTCTGCTTGTCTTCTCCAAAAGCTGATATTTTTAAATACAAAATTTGCAAAGTCCACATACATGTGTGTAAATCCACCCGTTTGGGGTTGATAAGGATCAAAAATGAACTTGTTAAGCATGGGAGCATGCTCGGCCAGAAAAAGTGCTAGATTCGCCTCTGATTCAGTTCCTGAAAAACGAGCAAACTCTACAACAGAAAGGTGCTTATGGGTACGTATTGTTGCAATTTGAACATCATTTGGTACTGACATCGCCGATGATCTTGATGGATTACGTATTGTTTCAATTGGAAAAAGCTGCAAACCAACATCAAATAACATCTCAAGCATTTAATTAATTAATTTCTAGGTCAAAGTAAAAAAATTTACCTTCAACTTTAAGGTGTGCAGCATCGGGCATGCCTTAATGAAAGGGACCAAAGCAAGAAGGTTGTCTTTTCCATCGTCTGAAAGCATAACATATATCTCCAATTGCTTAACATTAGGAAAACTCGGAAAATTCGTTGGAAGAGATGTTTCCTACATACAACGTTGGAACAGACCAAACCCGGTAGAAGGTTTAAATGGTTGAAAATAAGAGATATAAACACTATACAATATACAAGAAACTGATTTCGACACATAATAATTAAAATAGTTAAGCATCGGACGACTAACCTTTAGAGACCAGGAAAGAGAGAGTTGCTCAAGTTGATTAGAAAAGTTTGAAAAGACGTTCAATTTGCGGTTGTGATACCAATATCCACCCTCAAAGGTTACATTTACAAGTGCCGGAACACTAGTATATTGTATGTTTGTTTTAGCACCCATGAATTTAAACCAAGTAAGATTTGGAGCTGAAATCTGAATTGATTTAATGTTGGCACAACCATATAACTCTTAAGTGTTTCAGCTTAGAGGAGGAAACAACAACTTGTGTTTTAGGTAAAATCCCTACTGATCCACACAAGTAAAATATACAATTCTTGACGTTTAGACGATCAAGATTAAGACAGTTTGACAAAACATGTTCAACCACATCTCCCTCGACTACTAATGCTTCCAAGTGAATAGTTTTGAGGGTAGTAATTCCATTATTATTGGAGAGAACATCCTGTCGAATTATGTAAGTATTCTTTGCTCTAGAAATAGGGAAGCCCCTATCAGTTGACCAGTTCAACTCGAATTTGCATACATTCTTGCTCAAGGCCATAGCTATCCACTTATCAATATCAGCAATATACGATCCATAAAGAGGAAAATGAATTCTGAATGTTCTCACATATGAGGCTCGATTCCCATTCATAACCTGATTAACCCATTTACAATATTTATTACTCTTATAATCATCGTAATACCGTTCAGTATAGTGGCGGATCAAGACAAAATCCGGGTGTTCGAAATCAAGATGAGCTAAGTAAGTCCAAACATATCTCCACCTTTTGGAAACGAGGCTAGTTCTTCCTGCTGATTTCATGTCCACAAAAGATAACAAGTGCAACAATATATCATCAGGCAAATCACTAATTCTATCCACATTGTCGTCATTATTATTATTATTATTAATTAATAAGTTAACCTCATTAACATCATCATCGTTGTTTCTCCTTCTTTTTGGAATAAGGTTGTAGATGTCTTTTAGGGTAAAAGACTTATCATAGTCCCTCTTAGCACGATCATAATTATCTCGAATAGTGTCAGGAGAAAAATCATTACAATTTAAAGCTCCGCGAATGATCGTATAAGGGTGTGGGATTAAATCACCCATTGACTGATAATCCTCCTTAATGAAAAACATAAAACCTAGTTAGCACTGGACCCGTATTCAACAAACAATTCGGCAATGACAGCAAAATTGCACACAAATCTTCAACATTAATTGCAGTTCTAGAGACAAATTGGATAATTATAAGCGTACATAGTATTAGTATATGGTTCAATTACGACCCAAATTAATGGTATTGTACTAATGTGAAAGTAAACCCTAGATTATACAAATTCCGATCCAATGAATAAAAAAAACCATACCTCAAAAGAAGGGTGTAGCGTGAATAGAATCGATCTGAATTTGCAAGGCAAAAGCTTGAAGGCTATATATTAATTATTGAGCAATCAGAATATACGTAGTATATAATATAGAGGGTATGGCAAAAGTCATCAGGAAAATACCTAATTAACTTTTAGAAAATAAATCAAATAATGTAAATTTTTGTTTATTTGAAGGAAAATAATATTATCTTGGAAAACAATATAAACATTAGGTTATTTTAGATTTTAACACCTGCTAAAAACACGAAAATGGTTTTTAACACCTCAAAAAAAAAAAAAAAAAAATGTGTATTAACACTATACAAATTTCCAAAAAATTGGTATTACCACCACTTAACGGTTTCCGTTAAAAAATTCCGTTAAATGTGGTCCACAGTGACACGTGTCACTATTTTATTTGTTTAAAAAAAATAAAAAAAAATTTTAAAATAAAAAAACCTAAAACTACCCCAGCCACCCCAGCCCCACCCACCGAGCCACCACCGCCGTCCCCTAACCCACCCCCTTCCGGCGTCCGGCGTCCCAGAGAATGCCCGGCGCCGGCGACCCCACCGCCCTTTCCTCCACCTACGCACCCCACCCCTTCCCCATTTTTGTTTCCCGACTCACAACCCCGAAACCACCCTAAACGGGTTTTAGGGTTTCGTTTGGGGTGTTAGGGAATGGATTAAGGGAGGGGGATAGGAGAGGGAGGGCGTTTTCAGGGGAGGAGGAAGGGGAGGAGGCGTTTATGGTGGTTTCGGGGTGGTGGGTCGGGAAACGAAAATGGGGAAAGGGAAGGGGTGGTGTACGTAGGTGGAGGAAAGGGTGGTGGGGGTGGGGTCGCCGGCGCCGGGCGATTCTCTGGGATGCCGGACGCCGGCAGGGGGTGGGTTTGGGGACGGCGGTGGTGGCGCGGTGGGTGAAGCTGGGGTGGCTGTGGTAGTTTTAGGCTTTTTTTATTATTTTTAATTTTTAATTTTTATTTTTATTTTTTGTTTTTTAATTTTTTATTATTTTTTTATTTTTGACCAATAACAAAGCGACACGTGTCTATATGGCCCTACAAAGAAATTACCGGAAAAATAAAAAGGATGTAAGGTGGAACAAAGTACAAGGAGATCAACTCAATTAAATTTAAATTTAATTAATAAATTATTTGAAAATAAAAAAAGACAACTAGAAATAATAACATGTCAAGTCGTCTAGTCGAGCTAGTTACCCAAACACGAAAAATTGAGTAGTTTTCTAATCACTTACTGGATTTATTTTTTTGATTGTTTATCTAATTGGAACAAACAAAAAATTCATAACGTTTAATTTAATTACAGCTCAAGTGGCTGAAACGGAAACGATTTCTCCTCAAAAAACAGAGAGTAATGAGGCTAACTCTGGAAAAGCAGAGGAGAAGATGATTTATCCTCAAAAAACAGAGAGAAATGAGGCTAACTCTGGAAAAGCAGAGGAGAAGATGATTTCTCCTCAAAAAACAGAGAGAAATGAGGCTAACTCTGGAAAAGCAGAGGAGAAGATGATTTCTCCTCAAAAAACAGAGAGAAATGAGGCTAACTCTGGAAAAGCAGAGGAGAAGATGATTTCTCCAGAAGATGCTGCTAAAATGTCGCAGAAGAGGAAGATCGATGCTCCCATGGAGGACAGAAGACCTGATAAAGTCGCTAAAATGGAAGAAACCGAGAAGAAGAACTAGACAAGCTCTCAAGAAATGGATATGGCAATCTCTTCAGAAGAAGCCACTCCAGCGGCAGAGAAAGAGAATCTTGAAGTAGATAACAACTTCGACGATTTAATCGAAGAATTCGTCGCGGATCCAACTGTAGAATCGGACCAGAAAGAATTGGATGATATTAGTAAGTTTTGTAACCCTTATTTATTTTTCAGTTTTTCTTTGATGGTTTATATATTTGATTAAACATCCTAGGGTTCGTCTGAATGTGTTTGATTCAAAGATTTTTATTGATTAAGTTGAATTTATTACTTGAATAAATCATAACTTATGATTTAATTATTTTATTTGAATATATGAAATTGTGAGATTGTTAGTTAAATTGTGATCTCTGAAATTTACTGTTTCATGATTATTTTTATTGCCTTAATTGTGTTCGTGTACTAGTCAATTTTCCAATTTGTTACTGTATTAAATTCTAGCTTTAACAATTAATAATACTACAAATTAAATTTTAACTAGTTTTATTGAGGAAAAAAAATTAGGAGTGATTAATTGATGTTAATTCGTATTATTCATCAATTGATATCAATAAAGAAGTCATATGTTATACGTAATACATCACATAACATGCAATTTCTTCTATAGCTTATTTCTCTAAGAAAATAACATGCAATTTTGATTTTTGAATAGTGGCGTGCAGGGCTGAAGATTTTTTTGAGAACACTATTAGTATAGAGTTGTCTGTTTACCAGTGTTTTAGGCAAGCACTTGAGTCCGGAAACAGTGAAGTTCTCCGTCATGTGCTCGAACCTCATCGACCTTTCGCAGGGATTCTGATGATATTCTGTCTACATTTACCACAAGAAGGAAAAGAGTAAACAAGTGGTGCTGACAATTCTCAAGGAATACTTGATAGAGAATGGATCAATCGATGTGGTTGGATTTGTCAAGACTCAAGAAGTATGAGTTAGAGGAGAGTTTTACTGCACTGACTACCTTGCAGCGTGGTTTGTTACTAGTGATGTGCATTTTTGTGAAGGCAGGGAAAGATAATGAACCTGTTAACATTGTTGCAGAAGCTATTCTAGATGCTTATGATGCACAAGTATGGGGAGATGAAGCATTCGAGACTCTATATCGTTTTTTGAGGTGTCCAGACAAGACTTTGAAGGCTGTGGGATTGACCTTTGTAACTGCATCCGCCAAGCTTTGCACATATAGAGCCAGACCAGATTTGACAGCGGTGCTCTATAAAAGCAGAATTGTTGAAACTGTGAAGGAGATGAACGAATACCGGTTAACTATTCAACGATGTGCTAAAGCCCTTGAAGCAATGCCGTTGCCATCAGAGAGTTCGTCATAATTTTACTCGAAATTGATAGTACATGGAAATGGTTCGTTGTGGAAACTGTCCTTGGGTGCTATAGCTGTGGATACTTGGAAGTGTTAAGTGTAGAGAAACTTTGCTTTTTGGTATAAATTTTGGAGTTATGAGCATCTATGTTAGTTGATGTTCATAACTGAGGTAGAAAATTGAGGCTAGCTGAGTTTAGTAGTGTCTATAGTAAGACTGTAAGAGTCATATATAGATGTTGGTATAGTATGACTATTTGATAATTGTCTAAATCATGTCTAATGTAGTAAGACTGTAAGAGTCATATATAGTAAGACTGTAAGAGTCATATATAGCCTGCTTAACATTCTTAATGTTGCTGGATTCAATATCTTGCATTATAATGGTATAAAAGTATGTAGTATATAGTTTCTGTTATTCATTGTTTTTTTGCTTATGTATAATGTTGCATTGCATTGCTTTGTTGTACCTAAAATAATGAATGCGGTGTACCACTTTTGAAAGATTCATGATATGTCAGATAATTCCAATTATTAGTGATTATACTTTTGTATGCGCTACTGTTGATCAGGATTGCTAATTACTATGTGGTAAGCTAATACATTATTATCTGATGTGTATCAACTGAAAAATATGAGGATTTACCTGGAAAGTGAATAAAATCAAATTTATAGGGCCTCGTTTACAAGATTTGATGTCGGGTCTTGGGACGTGTTAGTGGTAAGGTATATTCGATGTAGAGATAAAACTACAAGAGAGTAGATTTTGAAATATGGGTAGCTTTTTAATGTTTGACCTAATTAAAAAAAGCTATAGGCTCGAGTCCGTTAGAAATGTTTATAAGTTACCTTATGTGAAACTCAAATAATTTTTTTAATTTAAATACAATTTTTTTACTAATAATTAATAAATGTGTAGTTTATATATACTCATATCATCATATATGTATTACTCACAAGACAAATAAAAAGAGAAGGCATTATACACTTTTTAAGGAGTCCTACACTTTTACTTAGACGTGACAAATTATAAGCTACATGACTATCTAAGATTGACTTAGTCAACCACGATAAAAATTAAACTCGATTAAACTTTGACTCGAAACTTTAACGAGTAAAATTGAGCTACTACATACATACCCATACACGACCCGACTAGTCGACTAGCATCATAAGCACACCCCTTGTCTGACTCAGAACATAATTATGCAAAAGCCCAAAATAATGTGGACAAAACAAAAAACTCCTGAAAATTTAAAAGACGCGCGCTCATTCTCTCTCTGTCTAAGTTGTTAAAGATTTCAAACTAATTTGGAGTAAATGAAAACAGAGTTCGTTACAATTTGTTATGCCTCCATATCTCTCTATAAATATTAAATATTCTACTTCATTCTCTCTCACCTTCAACTTCTCTCTCTAAAATCAACTCAAATCCTCTCACTTTTCTCTAAAATCAGTTAATCAAAGTCGCTCAACTTCTCTCTCTAAAACCAGCAACTCAACCTCTCTCTCTAAAACCAGTTAATCAGCAATGGAGGAAAACAGACCAGAAAAAGTTGCGAAAACGTAGGAGAATTCGACAATTACTCAAGAAACAGTGAAGAAACAGGAAACCTCTGAAGAAAACGCTGTAATGGAGGATAAGAAGATAATCTCCGACGAAAAAGCTGAAATGGCGGTTGATCAGAAAACAGAGGAGGCTGATTCTTCTCAAGGAAAAGCTCCAATGGCGGAAGATCAGATTGAATTCCGTGATTATGATGAAGCATTTGATAAATTTCTCTTGGAAAAATGGCCGGCAATTGAGACGAATGCTGATCGTATGTTTTCAAACGATTTTCTAAATTTCTTTTCCAGTTAATCTAAATTGAATAAATAACAGTAAATTCGGTATTGAATTATGTCAAATTCAGTTGATGAAATTATGTTGTGTTAATTTTATAATTCTTGAGGATTACTCAATTTACGACTATATATTCAGTTGATGAAATCATATCGTAATTAATTTAACAGTACTCAATTTTTTTTGCACGGGTAAGCATTGATGAATTGTTGTTATGTTGAGAGCTAGGATCGAATTGAATAAATAACCTAGTGTTAGTTCTTGAGGAAAACAGAAAATTCTTGATTGGATTCAATTGATGAAATTATGGTGTGTCACTCAATTTACGACTATATTTTGTGTTGTGCTATATTTCATATTTGTACTAGTTGCATTATTCGTAATTTTCCAGCATTAGCGATTAATAGTTTCAGGATTATTATATTTAAGAGTTTTCTTGAGAAAATAGAGAGATTAATCAACGGTTGATGTTATTTTTTATCAATTAATTAATTGACTATGAAGAAATCAGATCGTAATTAATTTATTATATGTAAAGGTTGTTATCTTGAGAGCTGAGATGCTATATTTCGTGTAAGGTTAAAATCATATTGCAAACTACAGTATATATTTCTATTGAATTTTTTGTATAGAAATATGAGCTATTTATTTCTGATTTTTTTTTTTAATTTTTTTTTAACAGAAAGTTGGGCCGTTGCTGATTACTTTTTTATGAATTTGGACGCTCTTGATGTTTATACTGCTTACACAAAAGCTCTCCGATCGAAGAACATTGAAAAACTCGGTCGTGAGCTCGAAACACATGGAGGGTTCTCAGGGATATTAGTGATTTTATGCATGCAATGCTACAGGAAGTGTAAAAAAGACAGAATTAAATGTCTTACAAGAAATTCTCTATAAATATGTGATAGAATCGGAGCTTGATGTCTGTGGTTTCACTGAAAAATATGATAATTATGGCTTATTAAAGAATTTTCAGCCGACCTTGCAACGCGGAATGTGGCATGTGATGTTCATTTTTGATCAGGCAGCTGATGTTGATAAACCAGTGGACATGGTGGCAGATACAATTGTAGATGCTTATGAATCACAGCTTTGGGGTGAAGAAGTTTTCTCTACTCTATACAACTTTTTGAGGTTTCCAAACGTGAGTGTACTAAGGGTTGCCTTCGTTGTAGTTACTGCCTTGGCAAAGATTTGTAAACAGGAAAGCTACCAAAAACTGTTGACGGTGATCCACAAAACCAAGATCGTTGAAGCCGTTTCCAAAATCGTTGAAGTCGAAAAGCGTGCAGTACTCTGTCCAAAATCGTTGAGCTTACAGATTTGCCAAATCCACCAGAGAGTGTGTCTTTGATTGCTGCTGATTCTGCTTCTGGTAAACCAACTGAATTGGAGAAGCAGGTACAATGACTGCATTATTTTACTCGAAATCAAATCGTGGTTGAACGTGGAGACTTTAGCTGGGGATCATATATGGAAGAGTTCGTTACATATATACCTGTAGAGAAACCTTACCTTTGGTACAAGTTTTAGAGCTATGATCGTCTTTGTTACTTGATAACTGTCTATAGTATGTAGTAGAATAATGAGGCTAGCTAAAAGCTGTTGATAAGTGTCTTAGTAAGAGTTAGAGAGATGCATGGTATAGTATAAACTTAGACTATGTTAGCTGATAACTATCTTTAGTATGTAGTAGAATAAGCCTGTTAACATTCTCTCTGTTATTGCTTAGTTGAGGTGCAGTATCTTGAATTCTTGGTATAAATAATACAACTGATAAAAGTATATACTTTGTCGTAACAAAGTTTGCCTTCTCACAATAAACATAAATTCTGAAATCTTAATTTTCAATCCTAAAACAATATAATTGTCCAATTTCAAATGAAAACAATCCTATTTATTATAGAATCACCACATCAACACCTCCTCGAATTCGTTTTGCAAGATCCTCTGCTTTTCTTCTCCATAGGCTGATATGTTCATACAAAATCATATTTGCAAACTCCACATGCATGTGTGTATTTCCACCGGCTTGAGGCTGATGAGGATCAAAAATGAACTTGTTAAGCATGGGAGCATGCTCGGCCAGAAAAAGTGCTAGATTCGCCTCTGATTCAGTTCCTGAAAAACGAGCAAACTCTACAACAGAAAGGTGCTTATGGGCACGTATTGTTTCAATTTCAACATCACTTTGTACAAACTTCGCCGGCCATGATATTCCATAAATGGGAAGAAGCTACAAAACAACATCAAATGATAGATAGACCAACCATCATTACATGATATCTTACACATTTATTTTATTTGTAAGGTCAAAACAAAAATTTTACCTTCAATTTTAAGGTGTGCAATACTGGACATGCCTTAATGAAAGGGATCAAAGCAAGAAGATTGTCTTTTCCATTGTCTGAAAGCATTACATATATCTCCAATTGCTTAACATTAGGAAAACTCGGAAACTTAGTTGGAAGAGATTTTTCCTGCGTACAACATTGGAACAACCCAAATCCAATTGAATGTTAAAAATAAGAGACAATAATACCATATAATATATAAGTAATTCATTTTGACACATAGTAATTAAAAGAGTTAAGCATCCGACGACTAACCTGTAGAGACCAGGAAAGAGAGAGTTGCACAAGCTGATTAGAAAATTTTGAAAAGACGTTCAATTTGTGCTCGTGATACCAATATCCACCCTCAAAGGTTACATTTACAAGTGCCGGAACACTAGTATATTGTATTTTTGTATCAACACCCATGAATTTAAACCAAGTAAGATTTGGAGCTGAAATCTGAATTGATTTAATGTTGGCACAACCATATAACTCTAAGTGTTTCAGCTTAGAGGAGGCAACAACAACTTGTGTTTTAGGAAAAGTCCATACCGATCCACACAAGTAAAATTCACAATTCTTGACGGTTAGACGATCAAGATTAAGACAGTTTGACAAAACATGTTCAACCACATCTCCCTCGACTACTAATGCTTCCAAGTGAATAGTTTTGAGGGTAGTAATTCCATTATTATTGGAGAGAACATCCTGTCGAATTATGTAAGTATACTTATTCGTAATACAAAATCCCGTATCATGTGACAAGTTCAACTCCAAGTTGCTTACATTTTTGCTTAAGGCCATAGCTATCCACTTATCAATATGAGCCGTATTCCATCGTCGTCCATTAAGAGGAAAATGAATTCTGAAGGTGCTCAAATGCGAGGCACGATTCCCAGTCATAACCTTATTAACCCATTTACAATATCTATCTCTTTTATAATCAAATGGTCTGGGAAAAGGGCAGCGGATCAAATGAAAATCAGGGTGTTCGAAATCAAGATGAACTAAATTAGTCCAAATATATCTCCACCTTTTGGAAACAAGGCTAGTTGTCACTGCTGATTTCATATCCACAAAAGATAACAAGTGCAACAATACATCATCAGGCAAATCACTAATTCTATCCACATTACTATTATTATTATTGATTGATAACTTAACCTCATTAACATCATCGTTTTTTCTCCTTCTCTTTGAAAAGTTGTACAAGTCTTCTGAGGTAACAACCTTTTTATAAAATCCATAGTCCTTCAAATTCCTTTTAGCAAGAATTGCTTTGGCTTTATCAAGAAGAAAAGAATTACATTTTGCAGGAGCGGATACTAGCTGATGAATCTAGTGATATATCTCAAAAGGAACAAATGGCCCTTTGTTTACGTTATGTCAATAAAAAAGGGAAGATAACTGAGAGGTTTCTTGGAATTGTACATGTAAAGGATACCACTGCTTTGTCACTAAAGAGTGCAATTGAGTCTTTGCTTATGGAGCATTCTTTGAGTTTGTCTAGAATTCGTGGACAAGGTTATGACGGTGCTAGTAATATGAGGGGTGAGATAAATGGCCTCAAGACTTTGATCATGAATGAAACAAAACAAGCTTATTATATTCATTGCTTTGCTCACCAACTTCAATTAACCCTTGTTGCTGTTGCTAAGGATAATGATGATTGCATTTGGTTATTTGATCAACTTGCTATTTTGTTGAATATTATTGGTGTTTCTTGTAAGAGAAAGGAAATGATAAGAGAAATTCAATCTCAACATGTTTTGGAAGCATTAGATCTAGGAGAAATTGAAAGTGGGCAAGGTTTAAACCAAGAACTTGGTTTAGGTAGGCCTGGTGATACTAGGTGGGGGTCACATTATAAAACTGTTTCAAATGTTACCTCATTGTATTCTACTATTGTTAAAGTTTTTGAGAAGGTTGGATCAAATAAGATTTATAAGGATGATCGTGTGAAGGCTATCATTGTTATGTCTACATTTGAATCATTTGAATTTGTTTTCATGATACATTTGATGTCTGAAATATTTGGCCAAACTGATAAACTGTGCCAAGCTTTGCAAAGAGGGGACCAAGATATTGTTAATGCCATGGCATTTGTAACATTAACTAAGGAGCGATTGCAAAATATGAGGGACCATGGGTGGGAAGACTTTTTACATTTTGTAATTTCTTTTTGTGATAAGTATAATGTGGAAGTACCTGCTATGGATGATATGTATGTTCCTCGTGGAAGATCGAAACGCTTCTTTGCCAAAGTTTCTAATCTCCACCGATTTCGGGTAGAAATGTTTATAAGTGTCATTGATTTACAACTCCAAGAGCTCAATAATAGATTTGATGAGGAAAATATGGAGTTGCTTATTTGTATATCATGCTTAAATCCGGTCAATTCATTTGCGGCATTTGATAAGAAAAAGTTGATGAGACTTGCTGAGCTATATCCCAATGAATTTCCAACTAATGATATGACAATGACTGCACTTCGTCATGAACTTGGATTTTTTATTGATGATATGCGCAAAGATGCAAGGTTTAGAGACTTGAAGGATATTAATGAGCTTTCTATGGTGCTTGTTGAAACAAATAAGCATAATTCTTACAAATTGGTTTACTTGCATATACGACTAGCATTGATCCTTCCGGTGGCGACTGCAAGTGTGGAACGAGTGTTTTCATCAATGACTTATGTAAAAAATAAGTTGCGGTATAGTATGGGCGATCAATTATTGAATGATAGTTTAGTCACTTTTCTTGAGAGAGACTCATTTGCTAGAGTGAGTGATGATGATGTATTGATACGCTTCCAAAGTATGAAAACTCGAAGAATGCTTTTTTAGGTTTTTTTTTTAATTTATTATTTTTTTTTTTCATTTTTCTAAGAGTAATTCATTTGTAATCCGAAATTTGAACTAATATACTGAATATTTAATTAATGTATTTGCGTTCCTTTTTTTTTTTTTTTTATTCCGAACCCACTGTTCGGAAATCCTGGATACGCCACTGTCGGCGTGCCGCAGTGGCCGGTGGGGTGGAGCCGTGGAGTGGAGGTGAGGAGAGGCAGGGAGGTGAAAAAAAAGGGGTTATGGGAGGGTTCGAACCCGTGTCTTTGTAAGAGGGGAGGTAAAGGCGCGCAAGGGAAATCACCACTAGGCTGAACATTGTTTTGTTGATATTTAGTGTAAAGATATTGTATTTAACCCTTTTTTTTTTTTAAAAAAAAAAAAAAACTTTTAATTTTTTTTTTCAAAAATTCAGTGGGTTCAATGAACCCACTTGAACCCAACCTGTATCCGCCCCTGCATCCAACATATATACTCCTTGTAATAAGAGATTATAGCAAAACAAAAAAAAAAAAAAATCAGAAAAATGCAAATCCGTACTCCGTATCTTTTTGTTTATTTATTGAAGGAATAAGGAAATAATAACATATACAATCCTAATTTTTTTATTTTTTTTTGCCGGTAAAAAACAACACAAGTAATAATCGGATTTAAATCATTAAATTTTTTAATTTTAAGAAAAATTGACGAATGAGATTTATACCGGTACATATTCTTTCAATTTGAACATCTTTATTTTGACTAACGGAAAAAATTATTATTATTTAAGTTTGGAATTAAAATTAAAAAATCAATCGCTTAACGATTGAGATTTGAATAGTTTAATTTTATGTGCATAAAAAAAAAAACTACAACTAGTGATTTAGTATTTGAATAGTTTAATTATTTAGTATTTGAATTATTTAATAAAGCAAAAAAAGTTATCTTTTTACATTCTAATCACCGACGAATGAAATACCATATTTATAATTTGGTTGCTAATTTAATTTTCATATAAATTACATAAAATCAACATTATCACATAAAGTTACATTATAAATTACATAAAATTAATAAAAATTCGACACGGGCTCAAAATCGCCTTTGAAGCATTAATGACTTAATGCGTCGAGTTGTTAGATGGACAACTTGTTATTTGACTCGAAAGCTCGTGAGAAAGTTGAATATTTTTATATAATTAGAATATAAATTTTTATATAGTAATATTAAATATTTAATCAAATTAAGATATTTTAATTTAATTACTATATAAATTTTTATAGTAATCTTTAATAAATACAATGTATGTATTTCGTAATTTATGTTCCATCCATTTTTTTTTATTCTCGTAATACTATGTATTGTGTATTGCACAAAATATTAGGAAAATTATAGGTTAAAAATCATACAGAATTCAGTGATTTTTTTACTCACAAATTATAATATGAACTATACGAGCATTTCATAGGAGAGAGAAATTATATGTATAAAAAAAAAGTGCTATGCAGACTAACCTATTTCAAAGACGCGCGCTAACTCTCTCTTATTTTATTCAAAATCGAATCAAATACTCAGAGTTTGGTATTCCTCCTCATTTCTCAACCCCTCTTTCTCTCTCTTCAGCTTCTCTCTCTAAAATCAGCAACTCAAATACACTCAACTTCTCTCTCTAAATCAGCTAACCAACAATGGAGGAGAATAGACCAGCTAAATTCGCTAAAACGGAGGAGAAGATTCAAGAAACAGAAATGGCGGATCATCAGAAAACAGAGGAGCATCACGATTCTTCTCAAGAAACAGAGGAGAAGACCAAAATCTCACCAGAAGAAGCGAAGGAGAAGAAGAATATCTCACCACCTAAAATGGCGAAGCAGCAGATTACTGAGATTGATTTTGAATATTATGATGAAATCGATCATGTATTCAATGAATTCCTCGCTGAAAAAAGTTTAATCGAAGAAACTGACGCTGATCGTAAGTTTAATTTTCTGACGCTTTCAGAATTTCATTTCCAGTTTATACGATTAATTAATAATATCAAGATTTAACTTAAATATCCTAGAGTTAGTTCTTGAGGAGATCACAAAATTCATGATGATGTTATTATTCAATTGATTTCAGGTTACTAGCTTATAATCTACTTGTTTCTAAGTAAAAATTAGGGTTCTTAATCAAGGAAAAGAAAAGATTTATGATCGATTTTGTTATTAAGACAATAATTATTTTTAATCTACTCCGTTTGAAGTATGTTAGTCGTATAATAAGCACATTATATGATATAAGCAAATTTTGATGTTACTATGAATATATTGTTACTTGTTAGTCGTACAGTCACACTAATTACTTGTTAGTCATTTTTGATACAAGCATATTAATATGTTAGTCATTATACTTGTATATGCAATTCGTGTTATACTACAACTATATTAGATGAAATCGGGAAAAAATGTATGATAAGATCCAAGCGTCCGGTTCGATGATTTAGACACGACCACACGGGACACGACAATCATTATACGTGTATATAAATATATAATTATATATGGAATAGTAAATACATTTGTAATGAATTTTGTAGAAAGGAATGTGAAATTAATTATTTCTTATTTATTTTTGATTTTTTTATTACAGAAAATTGGATCTCTGTTGATGAATTATTTCAGAAAATTGGAGCTTCGACTGTTCTTGCGTCTTATAAAGAAGCTCTGGAATCCGGAAACATTGATAAACTCGGTCATAACCTTGAACCTCATCAAGCTTTCGCAGGGATTCTAGTTATGCTCTGTGTTTATTACAACCACAAGTATACAAAGGAAGAGGTATATTTGGTGCTGAAAATTCTCAAGGAATACATGATAAAATCCAAGTTTGATGTCGTTGGTTTCACTGAGAAGTTTGATTCAGAAGAAGTTGAGCTGCAGGAAATCCTGCAACGTGCAATGTGGTATGTGATGTGCATTTTTAATCTGGAAACCGAGGTTGATGTACCAGCAAAAATGATTACAGAAGCTATTATAGACGCGTATCTATCAAGAATTTGGGATGATGGTGTTTTCTCTACTCTAAGCATCTTTTTGAGGTCTAAATACACGACTTTACATAGAGTTGCATTCGTCGTAATTACTGTCTTGGCAAAGTTGAGCAAAGAGAGAACCAGTGAAGAATTGTCGTCGATGATCCATAAAGCCAAGATTGTTGATGCCATGGGCAGGATGAACTTGACTGAACTCTCTGAGGGAATCCGAAACCATGCAACAGTCTGTTGTGAAGCGCTTGGAGAAATGCCAAATCCAACTATGAGTTTGTCGTCTTTGATGGCTGCTCTTGCTGGTAAAGCAACTACTGTATTGGAGAAGCAGGTACAATGACTGCATTCTTCTACTTGAAATCAAATCATGGCTGTGGTCTTGTGGAAGCGCGCTGTAACTGGGGATACTTGGAAGTGTTGCATATGTCATGTCTAGAGAAACCTTACCACCTTTGGTGTAAATTTTGGAGTTATGATCATCTTTGTTAGTTGATAACTGTAGTAGAAAAATGAGGCTGCTGATGTTGAGAAGTGTCTATAGAAGAGTCGTATATGTTGGTATACAGAGTAGTATAATCTTAGACTGTTTGATAAATGTTTATAGCATGTAGTAGAATGAACCTGCTTAAATTTTTTCTGCTATTGCTGAGTTGAGGTTCAATATCTTGAATTCATGGTATAAAAGTATGTAGTGTATAGTATACTAAATTCTGATAAGCTTAGATTAATACTCGTACAAATTAGCTACTTTCATGTTATCCTTAGCTAGCCGAGTGTCCCACTTCCTAGGAATACGATTGACAACGCCCTCAATATACTGAATCTAGTGGCCTCCAACCTTAGTCCTAGAAAATGTGAGAAGGAAGAGCCTGCAAAGCTGCTTCATAGCTACCATTGTAACCAGCACCAACAGATCATACAATTAGCTCAAAACAGATCATTATAAAGTAAATGCCTTTGGATATATTACGTATAATACAACGGCAAAAATTTAATCACTAGAAGACTGCCACAACATATTTATGTATTGTTACTGAATCTACTAATCTTATGCAGCAGCATCTGAAAAACTAGCTGCTAATGATGGAGCTTGCATGACTAGACTGATGAAAACTGAAAACAGTCGAAAATGACGTAACTACTGGGGTCCATTTACTGAAGCCTGTCTTGCAAGTGAAGAGGTTGTTGACCACATTGGACGGCCCAGAATTGCACTTCCATGGACAGAAAGATAAGCTGCATTGAGCCTGGATGGAGTAGGATGAGAAATAATTAATAAATAATTAGTATCAGAATTTGCAATGAAAATTTTTCAGATGAAAATACAGCGGAAAAGAAGTTGGGAGTACCGATCAACATCTGGTGTAGCCAGGGGATCAAAGAGATCCTCCCTCTGCTCCATTCCTGGAACAACACTGGCTGCAGCAGCCATGTCTTGAACACCTTCAGGCTGTAATCAACACCACAACTGGTAAAGATGAATACCCGAGCAATAAAAGACAGAAGACTGACATTTTTAGCTATCTACTAAATTTCAACCTCTGTGCTACATCACAGGGTCATGTGTCCTAGGCATAAACACTCTCTTCCCATCCCCAGCACCCAACAAAAAAGAAATTTATAGCAGAAAGACTCTGCATATTGCTAAGTCCAACATCCAAGCTTCAAGCATTATAACTAAATCTTAATTTAGTGCTTTAATTAAAGCTTCAGAAGTTAAAAAACCGTATCAGCTCATCAGTCATCTAGCAAGTTCAAATTATTATTGATGTTATTCAGACTAAATGGTTTATATCATTTGTTCACACATTCATGCCAGTTTTTTAATTAAGTCGCCAGTATTCCCATCTTTTCCCTTCTTGCTAAAGGATGTTCTCCTTTCAGTCCTATGCAAAATTCATCAGAAACAGCATTCATATATCATCCCCAGACCCTACCCAACCATGAGAAGTTTGTATCATGGTATGTTACAGAAAAGTTGAGGCAAAGGCTCAATTCCATTTCCAGTATGACAGAAACAAGCAAACAACTGTATCAAGAACTTAGGGATAAAAACCACACCTGTTGAGGATATTGAGCATACCCAGCATATGCATTGTACGCATATAGGGATGGGTCCTGAACAGCACCATATGCATAAGCATCATAACCTTGCCCATAGCCATAATATGCACCCCACTGACTTGGATCCACTTGCTGACCCCATGCAGCAGAGTCCTATAGATAATTTAGAGTCAAGTATCAGCTTAAAAACAAAGCTGAAAGCAAATGTACTCCAAAAGGATGCAATATACACAGAGGACTTAAATTTTCCAGGTAAACATTACCTGCTTAGCAGTAGGGCTCTTGCCCCATGAAACACGCACTACTTGCTGACCGATCACAGTTCCTTGCAGCTTCTGCATAGCTTCTTCAGCAGATGCCCTGCAAACAGCACCATATATTTCAGTGCTAAGTTATTAGTTAAAAGAGAAAGATAACATATAATCGAAACAAAGTCAAGTCTTCAGGTAATTTTAAAGAAGAATCCAATTCAGAAGAGGCTAGAAAAGCAGAGAATAGACAGTATATCTATAATAAAATCCTGCAATGTTGGCACTCCAGAACAAGATTCCAGCTTCAGAAAGCTACATACACCTACCTAGTTGCAAACTGCACAAAGCCACATCCCTTACTAGCTGGGATCTTGACATAGCCAATATCTCCAAACTGCAAGCAATGCTGTCTAAGCTCTTCTTCTGTCACATTTGGGTCCAAATTGCCGACATATATCTGCAGAAAAAAGGGAAAAAAAAAAGTACATGTAAAAGCTAATAAGAATTTTAATAAAGTCAAAATTACACATGGTCAATCTCTGAATCCCACTTACCGTAGTATTGTTAGGATCATTTTCTACTGGCAATGGTTGTACTGGTTGGATTGGCGGCACTACGTATGTTGGAGCAGGATATAAGGCTGTCACAGTAACAAAAAGTTGAATAAATGCTGCATAATCAAACTCGCAGAGGAAAAGTTCTAGATGCAAAAATGTCCTGAGAAGACTTGCAAATAAGTATTGATATGCCTGAAAATAGGGTACCTTTTGCTACAGAATACTGCTGCTGGATCCCTGGTGACTTTTTAGGAGTGGCAGCACTAATACGCATGGGCCTTGACAAACAATATTGACCATTCATTTCAGTCATGGCTCTGTTTCTCTCTGTTTCATCTGCAAATTTAACAAACCCGTATCCCTTCGAACGACCAGTGCTAGGATCAGTTACAACCTTTGCTCCCCTAACTGAAGGATAGTGAGCCCTAAATGTCTCTTGCAACAAATAATCTGAAACATCAGGGGCTAAATCACCCACAAAGATAGAATGCTCAGGACCTGCATCAGGTCTTCTTTCTCCAATTCCAAAAGATGCCCAATTTAATCTGAAAGGCTGCTCAGTTCCTGGCATGGGAGTTCCATTATATGATTGTAAAACACGTTCAGCAGCTGCATGTGAAACAAATTCAACAAATCCATACCCCTCTGGATGGCCAGTAAGCTTGTTACGTATGACTTTCACAGAAATAACCTACAAAGATAATTCACAACATTTTACTACGACATCAACATTACCAATAACAATAACAGTAAAAACAACAACCACACCCTGTATCAATTTCACAGAGGCACGGTCAGGAGAGGCCAAAACGTACACTGCTTTTCTCCTAACTCGTCATAGAAACTATCAATGATTCAAGAGGGAGGGAGCCCCTTCCCATGAACAAAGAAATTAAAATCAAGTTAAACTAGTCTTAGCCAGGCTACTCAATCCATGTCTTCTGAAAGTGAATTACTTGAGATCCTCAGGAGCATTCTTGTATGTCTTTAAACAGAATATCCACAAAGCAATTTTCTACACTCTCCAAGTATTCTAAGTTTCTAACTCCTATATGTGAACTTTTACACCAAGTATTCTAAGTTTCCACCACTAGTTGTATTTTTTTTTAAAGTGAGCTGCATTACTTGTCGATATGATAATGTGCTCAAAACTTTAAATTAGTGACACGCCATTTTCTTATTGTTACAGGGGGAAAAATGAGAAAACTGGAGAGGCCTAACCGCCTCACTAGATGGTGATATATGTTATGACAATAAAAGGCATATAATGTACATATTCCACAGCTTATTTTACCATGATAATCTTTGTACAACCTGAAACCAAACCCTGCCCCCTAATGGCACCCACATATCAGGCCCTCAGCCAGTCAGTCCCCACCAACCGCCTCCCGGACCTCCAAAACCTAATATCCGAACATCTTTCCAACTCCCAATGTGATTATTTGACTAACAGTAGGATCATACAAGAGCATTGAAGAGGAAGTCTCAAATAGACTAAACTAAGCACTACATATCACAAATTCAAACTACATTCTAAGAAAACCTGGATTTAGCTCAAAGAAACAAGGCTCATTCAAAGTAGCTTAATTTTTGCTATTACTCTTTGAAAAATCGAACTTTATTCACAATTTCTTCAGTAAATAATAGACAAAGCCAAATTCAAACTTTAAAATATTCACAATTAATTCATTAATTAATATATAACCAACGCATCAATTAAACAGCTACATACCCAACAAAATTAATGGATTTCTGCTTCCAGAAATAGTGTTTCAATTATAATTAACAACCAAAATCAGAAAACCCACAAAACCCCACCTCAAAAATCATAAAAGGAGCATCACAAATGAAAAATTTAGAACTCAATCAAAAAAAAAAAGAAAAAAGAAAGAGAGAGATGATACCTCTCCAGTTTGGGCAAAGCAACTGTGAAGATAGGATTCATCAACCCAAATTTGAAGGTCACCAATCCAAAGAGTTCGAACTTCTTCTAGGGTTTGTGGTTGATGATGGTGCGGTTGAGAGTGAGGAGCTGCCATTGTTGTTGTTTGTCTTCGCACTTCTCAACTTTCCTAACCTTCTTTTCTTTTCGTTTCGTTTGTTTGAGTAGAACCGTACAAGTAGAGCGGCAGAATTCTTGTGTAATACTAATGGGTGTTACCGTGTTAGCGATTGCCGGTTATTTGACATTAGAAAATGTAAAACCCGCTACTAATATAATTACTATCTCCGTTACAGCCTTACAGGTTATGTGCTATGATTTAAAATAAATATAGAGGAAAAATGTCTAATTGTTACACATAACATGTAACGGAGGTAGTATGTACAATTGTTCCCGTCAAAAAAAAATGTACAATTGTTAACATTTAATTGGTTTTGCCTCACGTATGAATGAATTTGTACTAGCTTAGATTCCGTGCAATACACGCTTATATCATTAAAAATTACACCAAAATAAGAACCATTACATGCTCATATAAAATAAACCTTCAATCGCAAAAGTTATGATTTTTATAAATTTCGTATTAGCTTCGGCAACTCTTCAATCCAAATTTCATATCGATACTTGGTAAAACCAACACGAGGGATCTTTAATTAGTTGTAGCCATGAAACTAATTTCCATCTAATTTTAGCCTTTGTAAGTGACATTTTGTGTTGACATTAGAAAAATTATCATTGTCTTAATTAATCAGCATACTGACACATAGACTTGGATTATCCTTTTGTAAATTTCAACACATACAACTCATAGTTTATGAGTTAGGCCTAACTAACCTAAATTCACACTATCTCACTCGACACGGCCAACAACCATCAATAGATACAACTCATACAAGCCCACAAGGTGTACTCATAGAGCCCAATACCTGAAGTCATATCATTTTCTAGACATGAGTCAACTCCAAAATAAGATGCTTATGACTATTTTATTATGCTGCTAATTAGAGTACTTAATAAGTTAATTAATCATTCTGGGTTGTTGCTCACACGTCATGTGCATACAAAATTACAAACTATGTTATTCCCAGCATTTGAACTTTTAGATTGGTCTCCCAATTTTCTCTTCAGATCATTTTCTCCCTAATTATTTTTCTTCATTTAATTTAACAATCTAATTTATTTTTAAGCTGGAAAATTAAATTTAAGGTGTCAATCAAGTAATGGAAATACCTGTTATTTTTGTAATTATTCCTGTGGGATTAATTTTCCTTCTTTCAGGCCTCATTATTAATCTCATTCAGGTAAATACACTAAACCCCACTTCATTTACTGTTGTAGTTTATAATTTGTTGTTATTTATTTATTTATTTATTTATAGTCAAATTGATTGTTGAATATACTTCTGAATTCTGATGGGTTTTTCTTCAATAGTGAGTTTAATTTTGGTTTTGCTGAATAAAATTGTTTGATGGGGTTTTAAATTAGGCTGGGTAAAATTGCTAGCCTAGAATATATTATCTTTGAATTGAAGTTTGATTAGGCTAATATATTAATCATCTGATGGATTATTATATAACATGCATTGTGGGTATATTAGTGTAATTTACACTAAGTTTAGCATTTAAATGTATATGTAAATATGTTTGATAAAAAAGGGAAGTAAATCATATGTTCAATTTGTCTGGGCTACAATTGAATAGAAGTTGGAATGAAATGGTGAATGTGTAATGGTTGAAGGTTGTTTATACTTTATAGGACTAGGGTTTTTGGGAACAAGTCTCAGTATTGACCCCCAAATTACAATGTACATTAGAATCTTCAATTCTAGAGAAAGTGGGATCAATAATGGGATTCTTGTTAACTTGTAATACTTGTTGCTAGGAGAATAGGACATGGTTGATATATAATCCATTTATGTTATGCTCTTTGCCATAGAGGTGGGTGAACAATTGGATTTAGACTTTCTCGTGTTAAGTGAACTGGGATGTGACAATTTTGTGTCACTGATGCGGTGTAGTATGATCCAAGGCCACGAAATAATATTAACACAAAAATATCATGTTGTTTGTCTTAAAACAGGATCATGTCATTATTTCTGTAATAAGTTGCTGTATAATTGTTATTGTGTGTTAGTGATGATTTTCGTTGACTGATATGCATATCTTAAACAGTTACTTTGTTTTTCTTGTGTTTTCAGGCTATTCTTTATGTCTTAGTTCGACCCCTGTCAAAGAATATGTATCGGAGATTTAACAAAGTAGTAACAGAACTGCTATGGTTGGAGGCTGTTTGGCTCTTTGATTGGTGGGCTGGCGTGAAGGTTTGAATTCGACATTGACAGTTAGCTATTATATACATTTACACAATTACACTCTCTGTTTTTGTTTTTCCTTTGTTAAAAATTTGGCTTGTTATAGGTGGAGCTGCACACTGATTCTGAGACATTTAATCTGATGGGTGAGAGACACATTAGCTCTAAGAACTACTTTATATAAGTCGTACTTCATAACTGTTCTGTTTCTTCTGAAGTATCTAAATGGGTCAATTTTCTGTATCCTATTTCTTGTACCTCTTTTTTCTTGCACAGGCAATGTTAATATCGCTTCCAGATTTGGGTTATTTTATAATGTATTCCTTTTTTTTCAACTTATTGACACCTTTTTCAGGTAAAGAACATGCTCTTCTTATCCCCAACCACAGAAGTGACATTGATTGGCTTATTGGATGGGTTTTAGCTCAGGTGCTCTTCAAAAACTTTATTCTAGTTCCTAGAACTACTATAACTCTATGAATGCAGCACTCATTTTGCATTTGTAACTCTTTTGTTGCATTACATTTGTCTAGTACCACAGTGCTGAAATGCCTGTATGCTGATAAAATTGTGTGATGTTATTAGATATACTGCACTAGCTACGGCCAGTTTTCTATAATAACACAACTTTGGAATTATAATTAAAAAAAAACTTGCACATTTATATCAGAATGGCTTTTTTTTTTAATTATTGTTTGATCATCATCCAAATGTTCAATTTTCAGTCATTGACAGCTGTTTGTTTGCTCTATAATAGAGAGCAGGTTGCCTTGGTTGTACTATGGCTATAATGAAGGATGTCTTAAAGTATCTTCCGGTGAGTTTCCATTGCTTCAACTGTTGTGAGAAATTGGGATTCCAATGTTATATAGGTGAAATTCCTTACAAGCTGTAAACTAGAATTAGAAATTTACATGTCTGAGATTTTAACTTCTGGTGAGTTTCTATGGATGAGACTACTGTGTTTCTCTGAAAAAATATCTATATTTATGCAACTGATGTATGAGTTCATTTTTGATGATCTATGTGTTGCTCTGAAGTCTGAGTTGAATATTAAAAAAAAACATTGACTAACTAACTAAATAAATCTCTTGAGAATTTGAGATTGCTAATGATGATCGTTGCTAACTAATTGCAGTCAGAGTATTTTATGTATGGTTATGCAGTTCATTGGTTCCTTGCAAATTGATTTATGATGATTCCGTACCATTAGACCCTTTTGTACTGTGCAATTTATCACAGGGTGACAGTCAGGGTATCACAGGGTTTTCCTTTACGTTTGAATCAATAATTTCATGCACCAAATGCAGGTTATTGGTTGGTCAATGTGGTTTTCTGAGTATATATTTGTTAAAAGGAAATGGGCTGAAGATCAAAGCATCCTAAAGGTATTCAAAGAATCAAGATGCATCTTTATTATTTATTGATTGGGTTGTTTTTTGTTGTAAAATAATTATTCGATGGTAAATATCACACAGTCAGGCTACGAGAAATTGAAGGATTTTCCTTTTCCCTTTTGGTTGGGTCTCTTTGTTGAAGGAACTCGCTTCACACACCCAAAACTGTTAGATGCTCAGCAATTTGCTATTTCAAAAGGGTTAGCTGTCCCAAGAAATGTTTTGCTTCCTCGTACAAAGGTTTCTCTAGCAGTCTCTTGTTACCTTAGCTTTTTTCTTTAGCTTGCTCATTTCGTTTTTATTAATTTCCCTATCTTGTGTGTGAGTGCATGTGTGTATGTGTGCGTGCCTATTGCCTAATTTACTCTTGTTGCCTGTGCTAGAGAGTATTACCTTCCGTCTGGTTGATTTTAGGGTCTTATTCAGTTATTCTAGCTGTTATCTGGACTATCAAGGTGGTTTGAACTACCTTCTAATGATGTATACTGTGATTTCCATCTGGGTGTTTTCAGGGTCTAATTCTGGCTGTAAAACATTTGCGCTCATTTGTTCCAGCAGTATATGATGTTACCTTCACTGTAGCAAGAGATAATTCCCCGCCTTCATTGCTAACTTTACTAAAGGGCAAATCTTCTGTGGTAAGTAGTAGACACTTATGTCATTATAGTAAGAAGTATAGTAAAGAAAACTAGCTTATTGTGGTAAGTAGTAGACAATTCTGTCATTATAGGAAGAGAAGCATATAGTAAAATAAATCTAGCTAATATGGTAAAAAATGCTGATTTTGGTCTTCCCCGTTTTCTTTCTTTTGCTATGATGTGTTATTAGTACCTTTTGAGACTTTCTTGATGCTGATGTGCTAGCTACTCTATGTTGCAGGTAAAAGTGCAAGTTAAGCGGCATTTGATGAATGAATTGCCCGAAACAAGCGATGATATTGCACAGTGGTGTACAAACTTGTTTGTGGCCAAGGTGAGGAGACTAAGAGCTATATTTACAACTTAGAACCAATAAAATTAGCAGCACCTTAGAATAATGTCAACACTTTATTTAAGTTGCAAATATACTTGTGAATTTGCATTGAAACAAAAAATAAACTTAGATCATTCTTATCAAGAATTTTCCAAAATAGAAAAGATAGAGAACTAGTAAATCCTCAGTTGATCCTTGTGAGGCTGCTTGATGTGTGAATCCTGTGTGCTGTGTCCTTTGAACTCCACCACCAGGATGCATTTTTGGACAAGTACTTTTCAGGCGGCAGTTTTGGCAACGAGGAAATTCAAGATCTTGGCCGACCAACGCAGTCACTAACGGTAAGGCATTAATTGTTGGCTTGCAACATCTCAAAATTAAACTGATTACTGTGCTCACTCTTTTGGTGTATGATTGATTTTCATTTGTTGGTTTTGTTTACGAACAGGTGATGATTGTTTGGTCGTGTTTAGTTAGCATGGGTGCTGTGGGCTTCTTGTTATGGACCAGCCTTTTCTCAACTTGGCAAGGGATAATAGTATCAGCTGTGTTTCTGCTACTTGTTATAGTCACCATGCAGATCCTCATTCTGTTCTCACAGTCCGAGCCTCATATTGATTCTATGCCTATCTCGATACTGCCACAAGATCCAGTGAAAGAGATTCTTCTTCAAAGTTGAACAGATTGAAAACCCTTAGGCTGGGATGAACTTTTCTTAATCATAGGTAAATGTTGGCCATTCATTCACTTGAATTCCTTTCATTTAATTTTTTGTTCAACCAATTTATTTTAGAGTATATCATTTGATTGTTGTATAATTTCTTCGTTTCTAAAAGTTTTTCCTGTTTGGATGACGATTGTGTGACAAAAAAGTCAAATCGGGAATAATTTTCTAGATATGGGGAGTGGGGACTAGTGATATATATAAAGTAGTGTGATACTCATTTATAGGACAAGGAATAGCCAGGAAAGTTGCTTCATACTTTGTATGTAGAAGATGTTTGAAGAGTTGTATAGCTTGATTTAACACTCTTAAGACCTTAATTCATATTCTTGTATTTTCAAATACTCCAAATTACATTATTACAATAATCTTTGAAGAGATATATAGGTTGATTTGGCACTCTTAAGACTTAATTCATATTCTTGTGATTTTAAATACTCCATATTACGACAATCTTTGGGAGTTGTCTAGGGATTATGTTGTGTTAAATAATACATTGATACCATTTATTTGCTGTGATAATCTTCCTTACATCTTTTGATTATTTTTTTTTTTTTTTGAAGACACATCTTTTGAAGTTTAAATATATAGGAAAACACTAATTCTATACTTTACTTTTTTCTTTTTTTCTTTTTTTTGGGGGTTATTAACTCAAACTTTTTGCCATATTTACGTGTTATTCCCTTTGTTTCTTCATAAACACATAATAACCACAGGACTTTTCTCTTACATCCGTTATAAAAATTACAATACTTTCTTATTTGATCTACTATTTTATTAATTCATCTCTCCTACCAACCCCAATTACACTATTTTTTTATTTTTTTTTAATATTTACTCTTTCCTAATAACAATTAAAAATATCTCACTAGTTGTACTTCATACGAAGTATTATAAAATTCATCTTATGATCTAGTCCCACTTTATAATTCTCCTAAAACTTTTAGCGATTATTACGAAAATAAAGAGAGTATATTATTGTCTTACTTTTTTTTTTTTTTTTTAACTACAAAGTATTGTCGATCTATAAACAAATTATTGCACTACTCTCCCCCGATTTAAATTACTAACTAATGTCACACAATATATATTAATCATAGTATTAGAAAGAAACTACTCTGTAATTCCTTTTTAATTTGAAAATAATTTAAGGTGCCAAGCTAAGGTTGCTTTTATAATCAAACTATATTTCAACAACACTAAACCAAGGTGTTTGAGTACAAAAATATTACTTTAAGATTAATTAATTTTTTACATAGTGTTTGGGTCCAATTATGCCTAATTAGGCCCGGTCCATAAATGATTCAATCCATGCTAAGGTCAAGGCCCAAGCCTCCAATCTTGTCAAGTCAATCTAAAGTCAACGGGCCAAGTCATCATGGTCAGCCCATATGACATCAAGCCCATCTCTTCTCCTTGTCATGCTAAGGTATAAAAGCCTTCAATTACACCATTTATCATTCATACACACTAAAGCCTCAAGCAATTAATACTCTTGCATAGCTTTCTCTCTCTAAGCTTTGACTTCAGCATCTGAGGGGTCTTCCTCGACACAACCCCCGAGGCCAGTTTACGTGTGTTTGCTGTGCAGGAAACCCTCGGCCCAGCATCATTTGGACCAAGATAGTCTTCATCCACCTCTTCGGACCTTCGGCAAGGTCCCACTGTTTTCACCCGAAACACATAGCATTCGAGATTATTTTGACTAATGTCCAAGACTCCAATTAACTTACTCAAATAATCCGTATTTAAATAAACTAGTTTTGTGCCCCGTGCGATGCGCGGGTTGTTTATGAAGTCTATTTAAATCTAACCAACGTGGCGCGACACTCAAATTTTATTTTATCGAAAATAAAACTTTAACTAAACAATTTTATCCTAAAATTCTATTCAAAATAGAATTTTAAACTAACTTTTTTATCTTATGAAGTCAATTTAAATCTATCCAACGTGGCACGACACTTGGCGAAAAGTTGAAACGCCAAGTGTCGCTGCCTCGTCACCTGGCTAAAAGTTTAGCTTTATATATTAGTTATATGATATGATATGATATTTCATAAATCCAATTATATATCCAACTGAATAATCGGAAATTTTACCAACAAGCTTCTAAAATTACGATATAGCCCCTTAACAACTTAGGACTTGTTCTCTTTAGATTACTTTCAGTTCAGTTCAGCTCCAATAAGTTCAGTTCAATTCAGTTTTTAATTTCCTTCTCTCATAAAATATTCAGTTTAGCTTAGCTCTAATAAGTTCAGTTCAATCCATCAGTTCAGCTCAATCAGAATAATCCCTTAAAGTCTTCTTTTTCCTTTCTATTCAAAAGTACTTAGTATTATATGCAGGACTTTCATGAATGCCCAACGTAACATAACAACCATGTTTGCCAAATGTCACAAACAACGTAAACTCTTTTATTCATGCATGCATGCCACTAATCCAAACTATTTTCTTCCTTCTTTAAACATTAAGAATTTAACATGATCTCATCATTGCTTACGTTGCTGAGCTTCATCAATCCTTTATAAATAGCCATGCATGAAGAGTAGCCCATACGATACCACCGCAAACCAAGTATCAAAAGTAAGTACAGTGAAGCAAATATATATACAAGCTAATATGCCTCAAAGAAAAAAATATACAAGCTAATAAGAGATTGATTTAATTTAATTTGGTTTAATTTAATTTAATCCAATAAACTTCGTTGTTAGGTTTTTGCTCTACAATCGCCGTTGCAACCACCGCCACCATTGTGTGACCATCGGAGAAGCCACCCTTGCCCTGCCGCCGTTTGTGAGACCAAGAATTATTGGTCTTCCAACAAGAAATGTTAGTATATACCTTTATTTGATTATTTCCCAAAGCCTTACTCACTTACTCGTACATTCATAATTATTTGAGTTACTTTTTTTTTTTTTAAAGAATTATTTGAGTTACTTTGTTTTGCTTTAATTTGCATTTTACTTGGTTTTACATATTTACTAAAATACAAGTGTATTAAAAAAAAATGTGGAAAAGACTTGCAACTTGGGAAGAACGGTACAAGGCCAAAAAAGGAGTAACATTATATCTACGGTTTAGGGTTAATAATTGATATCTATTGCTCACCAGCCTCACCTCCATATATAGTTCTTCTATGAAATGTGTTTTAAGAAATGTATTTATGATAGAATTTTTTGACTAGATTTTTTTATTTCAAAAATTACCTTTAAAAAGACCATTTTCGGAAATAACTAGAGTAATAATTAGCCATGTAGGGGTCAAACTTGTTGGTTAAATGCCTTTTATTTTATTATATAACTAGTGTATATCCTGGACGTTGCACCGGGTAGCTACTTTAATTATTCTTAGTGATTATATATATTTGATATTTAAGTTGTCCTTTTTTATTTTTTAAAATTAATTAGATCTTGTGATTTGCAATAATATACATTTATTTTCATATTTATAACATGGTTGATGATTGGATTCGATGGTTAAATAATCATCCTTCTTATAAGTATATGTTTGATAAAATTTTGCAAATAATCAAGTATATAAAAATAAATAATCATGATCATAGAACCATGCCTTATTGTTTGTGAAATTGTTACTAAAAAAAGACAAGGATTCAACCCAAATACTTCACAAGTAAAGTAATCAAAATTTACCTTACTTCACAAATTCATAATTGGGGAAGGAAAAAAGCAAGAGAAATAAAATTCAAACTTACCTGTAATTTGTAATAGGAAGGAGGGAATAGAGATTATATTCATGTATGAAATTGAATTGGGAAAAAGAGAAGGAAGATAAACTTATACTAAAAATCGAGACCGGGAAGGGGAATGAAGTGCTGTTTGAAGAATAAATGTAAGATTATTTATTTTTATTTTTTTAAAAAAAATGGGGATAAAAATGCTCAAGTGAAACTAATTATGAAAAGAACTATCCAAATAACAAAACTACCCTAAAAACTGAGTTAAGTATAATGTTGAGTATTAACATTTTAATTTTTTCACCTTTTGGGTACTCCCACTTTTTTTTCACCTTTTGGGTACTCTAGTTAAGTTTCCGGCCAATTAACTCAACATAAACTCATTGGAGAAAAATTTAGTCCCCTCTTTCATTTATTTGGCAAAAAAAGTTAGTCCCCTCCTTGAAAAACGTTAGAAATAAGTGAGTACCTTGATTAATTTAAGCATATAAATGTATTCCAAATATTTTAAACAAAAATACTAAATTCCCAAAAATTGATGAGGCTGCTTTAAATATTCAACTAGTCGTTGAATTTAAAAATAAAAACAAAAAATTCATATTAGCAACAGCAGGAAGCCATCAACAAGCCTTCATTTCTTCAAAATTGTTCTCCAGTCTCTGCAAGGAAATTCCTATTGTTATTGCTGTAATGTATATGTGCAATTGAATTAGGGATTGTTAAGAAAAAAAACCTGGTTAGAACATGCGCACTGTTGTAGTAGTTGATCCTTGGTTGGATTGTGGCTGACTTGGCTGTGATGTACCTAGTACATGACGTTTGGGTTTTTTTTTCTTTTTTTTTTTTTAAAATAAATATTTTAGAAATACGAAAGGATTAATTTTGGACCACTGATTTTAGTCACTGCTAGCAGAAATTCCTGCTTCCCCATGGACACGTGTAATTCCCCTAGAGGCCCCCATCCAATCATATGTCAGTCGCAATTAATAGGGTACTAACATTTTTTGCTGATTTTATTTCTTAACCCAAGGCACTAACTTTTTTAACCCAAGGTACTAACTTTATCACCGGATTGTACACTTGAGTACCCAAACGGTGAAAAAAAAAGTGGGAGTACCCAAAAGGTGAAAAAAATTAAAATGTTAGCACCCAACATTATACTTAACTCTAAAAACTAGGTGTTGTTTGGTTGAACTTCTTGGAAATGGGTTGGCTATTTAAGTATGAAATCTCATATTTAGGGAATAAATTCCACACCCCATTCCCTTGAAATCTCATACCCACTTCCCCCTCAAAGATTCATAATAATTCATATTATCACTCAAGTATGAGAATACATTCCGTGATTAAACCAAACAACTTTAGATTGATATGATATATAGAATCCATATCATACAAGTATGAGAGACTCATACCAATCCATTTCAGCTTAATGAACCAAACTACCCCTAAAATATTTGGGTATAACTATCCAATGTGGTAAACTTGATCACCAATGGATCGGATTGAGCTTGGGTCAAACAAGTTGGCCCATTTAGATCGGGCGGCAAAAAACTTGTACTCGAGTCCACTATTTTGAGCCCAAAAACAAAAGGGCCTTTTTCAAGTCAGCAAGCCCGATTTGGGCCCAAAATTTCCCCACCACTCACCAGCAACGACCCGGCTGACGGGCTCTTCCTCC